ATAACAAGACAATGCCCAGAAACAAAAAGAGAGAGCGTCAATTACCAGTTGGAAGAAAGATTCTACTGACATCGCGCGTCTCAAACAATAAACAACGAGCGGACCACAGTCATCGTTGGTGACTGCATAATAAAGAATGTTCAGGCAATAAAACTAGCTAAGACTGTGGGATAACGGGTTGTTATCAAGCCGTTCCCCGGAGCCACAATTCGCGACATGCGTTTGCATGTTGTTCCTACAATTGATAAGTCTCCTCATCAAATTTGTCTACATGTGGGTACCAACGATCTAAGATCATCTACACCGAGCGATGTGGCAGATGCTATCATAGACTTGGCCAGTGAGAGAGGTTGAGAATGCTTCCGAGTCTGAAATAGTTATATCTGAACTAACTGCAAGGAATGATGATTACTACGACGCCGTCAAAGCGGTAAACAAACGTCTAAAACAATTTTGCAACCAAAATAACTGGAAACTCATCAGCTATGCTAACATCAGTTCAAAAGGACTTAACAAAGGTGCACTGCACCTAAACAGGGAAGGTAACGAACTATTGCAAAAGAACTTTATAAACTTTGAGATCTAACTGATTTCCTAATTCTAACTCTAGTTTCTCAAACGTTCAGGTGAACGTTGCCAGAATTTGTAGACAACGAAGTTCATTGAGGTAGTTCGGGTCCTTCCAATATGTCTAATTCTTTACCAGCTAAACGTGGTTTCAAAATGGCCTGTTTGAATATTAACAGTGTCGTTAAGACTGGGGCAATTACAGAAATCTCCGAAATCGAATCAACAATAAAGTGAAAACCACTGAGGCATCCTATTATCACAATAGTTCTATTCAATCCGAAGGAAATGCCCGAAGGACTTGGAAACCTGCTTGGAAAACTATAGTAACAACCTCATGTCTCGTCGTCAGAGCAACCAGATAGTAAAGGATGTGAAAGTAAATGACATCTCTATCTGTAACTGTAACGAGATTTCCAACGCCTTTAACGAACACTTTTCAACTATTGGGCCCAGACTAGCCCGCGAAATACCTTTAACTTCCGACGAGGAGTCTCAGGGGCATCCAACGAGAATATGGCTCAAAACCACTTAAACATAGCATTGTTAAACGTATTTTAATATTTAAACGGTAGATATAGGCATATTTTCACCCCCTAAAAATTTTTCATCTGTTCGGATTCCCTAGCTGAGAGTCTAGTGATTCGAAAATTATAGGGATCAAAACTTACCTTCTCGAAAATTTCAGCCAAATAAAAGGCTCCCGAAAATTCTAGATGATCTTTTTAGGGTAAAAATCTGGCTATAAAAATGGGCAATTATACCAGTTTTTAGATGTTCGAAAATCCTAGGAGAGGCAGGCAAGCAAGAAATTTTACAACAAATGTTCCGGGATTCTATTCATTTAAAAAATATTACTGAAAATTACAACAAATTCTGCTTTCGCCCAACTACTACCAGTGATGTCTTTACCCATACAACTTCTTAAATAGTGAAGAAATCATCTCTAAACAACAATCTGGTTTCCGGTCTCTACACTCAACTGTTACTGCACTCATTTAGAAGCCACTGACAGTTGGGCGTTTAATATCGATCGTGGCTACGTCAATGCTGTAGTGTTTCTCGACTTAAAAAAAGGCATTCGACACTGTTGATCATAAGATATTACTAACTCAAATGAATCGGTGTGGGATTCAAGGTAAAACTCTTGGTTGGTTTAAATCGTATTTGACGAATCGCACAAAGCGGTGCTCAGTTAACGGTTGTCTCTCTGACCTCACCACTCTAAATGTGGTGTGCCACAGGGAATGATCCTTGGCCCTCTTTTAAATCTAATTTATATTGATCGGCTCCAGGCAAAGATTAAGTACTCTATCTGATATACTCGAACTTTCGATTGATAATGTTCCGATTGAACAAGTTCCCTCTGTGAAATCACTTGGACTGATGGCATTTCCCAATTGATAAACTGTGTAAAAAGATCGCTTCTGCAATTGGAGCCATAAAGCGAGTTAAGCCATTTGTGCCTCAATCCACCCTAATCAATATATACAACTCACAAAAAAATTTAAATTTGCGACTACTTCATGTCCCCTTTATGATGATATATTGGGAGGCTCGTGATCGACCCAGGCCAACTCGCTGGACCTGCAATTGGACTCGCAATCCGGCTGTTCCGGGTTCGAGTCCCGCTCAGACCACTTTATGGATTTGGTCTTAGTCGTTCCGAGTTCAAATACTCGTCTACACTTATAAATAGCCGACTGGTTTCCTCCTAGCAGTTGAGGTTTTTCATCCTTTTATGTTTTAACTTCGACGTAGATGTCGATTCCTTGTTTCACAAATTCAGCTGGAAAGACTTGAAATCTCAAGGTCAAATTCAGAACTCCTTAAAGGTTTTCAAGTCTTTAAACGGGCTGGTTCCCGAATATCTCACGTCTAAATTTATAAAGCGAAATGAATCAAACTATTCTCTGAGGGACACGGTAAACAAACTTGTTGTCCCCTTTCCAAGAACTAACTACATGAAAAATAGTTTTAGTTACAGCGGCGCAACCCTTTGGAACAGCTTGCCCTGTAATATTAGAGAGTCTGGTTCATTAAATCAATTTAAACGCCTTTTCAATCATAATTTTTCTGAACATGGCATTCATGGAAATCAGGTTTCTTTAAGTAGCATATTGTTGTAAGTTAATATAATGTTGATTAGGATGTTTAGATGTTAGCAAGAGAGGATAAAGGGGACAGAGAAGGCATCCTCCATACACACCCTATTCCATAGATAATTCGTCTCGAGTTATTTTTAAGACCACAGATCCCAAGGGAAATTAGACAACAGCCAATCACAAAGCGCGAATGTGTTCCGCGTGGATGACCCACGCTCAGAGCCACGCGTCCTTCACGAATTGAGGCAGAAAAAAATGGCGGAAGAAGCGGAGAGTAATATTGGTATTTGTTTTGTCGACGAAAACGACTAAAGAGAGATTTCTGCTAAAGCTGTGTCAGCGAAACGGAAATTAGAAAAGAATCGCCCTTCCTCTCTTGTATAGAGCTAACAGTACAGCAGTAGCCTGCGAGCAAGCTCTCCTATTTGGGCGAGTGAAGCGTGTCTCGCGAGAACGCGCGTTCTCGCGAGGCTCACTTCGCTTACCCAAATAGGAGAGCTTGCTCGCAGGCTAGTACAGCCGGGAAATCCTTAACACAGTGAATATTCTCTCAGGATCATTTATAATTTATATTACAGTTTGAAGAGAGCAATTTCTGGTTTGATATTTATTCTTTTATTAATCTTTTATTATTCAACAAAAATAACACTTGGCGTCCTATAATAATAATAATAATAATTTAATAACTTCTAGAGCGCTATTTACATTCTCTGATCAACAGCGCTTAACAACTTAAAAAAACTACAATAAAATTCAAATTTGTAAAACTCATTACATTTACATGAATATTACTTGCTACTAGCTTTATTGTACAAACGACCGGTTTCAATAGACCGGCGAAATTTCACATTTTATTAAAGCACTAAGGTTACGATAACTTCGAGTTAAATTGATTTCACGGGTTGTCAAAGAGTCGAGCGATTCCCTGATCATGAGCGCCGACTCATTTCGCTTCAATATTCAGAAATGCTCTCGATCTCTTTACGCTTTCATTGCCTTTCGCCCGACATGTTTTGCACGGCGTTTAGTCATGCGAAACCTCCATGAAACATCCACGCAGCGCGCGAGGTAACTTTATCCCGATTCTAAAAATAACTCAAGACGAAGTACCTATGGAATAGGGTGTCTATGGGGGATGCCTTCTCTGTCCCCTTTATCATCTCTTGATGTTAGTCATTGCATTAGAATTTATTGTACCTGATGAATTTTTTACCGTGTATAAATAACGATTAAAGATTAAAGATTAAAGATATGTAAAAAAATATAGCGAACAGTATTTTTACATGACCGGAAAAAGTAAATTATCGTATTAGTATAGCCTGCGGGCAAGCTCTCCTATTTGGGCGTGCCCCTAGCGGCTTCGCCGCTCTCTCGCGCGTTCTCGCGAGACTCTCTTTCCTCGCCCAAATAGGAAAGCTTGCTCGCTGGCTAGTATTAGTAAATTATTAAACTCAGAATCAGTTATCTCTATTTTTTATAAGCCAGTGAATAACTTCTTTTAGAAAAAATAAATAGAGAAAGTGCGTTGCTTTTCTATCCACAGGAAGCCCAAGCTCAATATGAGAGTACGTGCGGTTGCGTAATTTTCAAAATGGCCGTCATTATAAAGGATTTGTATGGGTATAGATTCGAGGAAGTAAATACTCGCATGAATTTTCAATAAAATACGCTTTACCTTGTTTACTTGGTGTCTTCTTGCTTCCTGTGTGGTTATTTTCCCGATCCGTTGCAATTTAAGCAATTTCCTTTATCCCGAGTTCCACTTTATTAAAATTATTTTTAAAATTACGCCACAGCACGAGTACTCTAATATTGAGCTTGGGCGACCTGTAGAGACACTGGAGTACAATCCTGACTGGAAGGATTAGTGTTATAGACCCTAAATACGATCTGAAGCAGCTTCAGTTCAATTATTTCCAGGAAATCTCTTTAAAATTTTTATTTTGTCCTTTTGGAAAAAAATTATCAAGGAAAAACTTTTAAACGGGACACAATATAGGAACTTTGCGCGTTCTAACAGGCTGAATATGTTGATGTCCGTTAAAGCGTTTTGTCCTTTCTTTTTACCAGACATTACTGTGTTTATATTGTATAAAATTTTACAATACAGTTTGAAATAAACAATGATGAGATTAGAAAAAGATTACGGATGTTAATTTAAGCCCAGCAGAAGTAAGAAGAGAATGAATTCATGTGGTCGCTGCTTGGGTAATGATTGCGAACA